ATGGGATACGACCCTTTAGGGTGGGGGGGGACAATGAAATCAGGAAAAAAATTTTATCATGGGATACGACCCTTTAGGGTGGGGGGGGACACTCTGGGATTAGGAAGAAAGAAATTTTATCATGGGATACGACCCTTTAGGGTGGGGGGGGGAACATTCATGGAATCAGGAAGAATAAATTTCATCATGGGATACAACCCTTTAGGGCGGGGGGGGGACACTCATGGAATCAGGAAGAAGAAATTTTATCATGGGATACAACCCTTTAGGGTAGGGGGGGGACACTCATGGAATCAGGAAGAAGAAATTTTATCATGGGATATGACCCTTTAGGGTGGGGGGGACACTCATGGAATCAGGAAGAATTTTATCATGGGATACGACCCTTTAGGGTGGGGGGGGGACACTCATGGAATTAGAAAGAAAAAAAATTATCATGGGATACGACCCTTTAGGGTGGGGGGGCACTCATGGAATTAGGAAGAAAAAAATTATCATGGGATACGACCCTTTAGGGTGAGAGGGGAACATTCATGGAATCAGGAAGAAGAAATTTATCATGGGATACGACATGATACGACCCTTTAGGGTGGGGGGGAACACTCCTGGAATTAGGAAGAAAAATTTTATCATGGGATACGACCCTTTAGGGTGGGGGGAGGCATTCATGGAATCAGGAAGAAGAACTTTATCATGGGACACGAGACGGGGTGGCTCTGGGGGTCCCCCCAATATAGGGAGGCGAGAGGGGGCGCGAGGGGGTGATAAGGGGCGAGAGGGGGGCGAGAGGGGATGGAGATGGGCGACAGGGCGAGAGGGGGCCAGAGGGTCAGAAGAAATTTGAACATGCTACGACCCTTTAGGGTGGGCGGGGACACTCATGGAATTAAAGACATTTTATCATGGCATACAATCCTTTACGGTGGGGGGGGAACATTCATGGAATCAGGAAGAAGAAATTTTATCATGGGATACGACCCTTTAGGGTGGGGAAGGGGGCATTCATGGAATCAGGAAGAGGAATTGTTTTGGGGGTCCCCCCCAAATATAGGGAGGCGAGAGGGGGCGAGAGGGGGAGACAGGCATTTCTTCATGGCATACAATCTTTTACGGTGGGGAGGGAGACGCTCGTGGAATCAGGAAGAAAAAAAAATATCATGGGATACGACCCTTTAGGGTGGGGGGGGAACATTCATGGAATCAGGAAGAATTTTATCATGGGATACGACCCTTTAGGGTGGGGGGGGGGACACTCATGGAATCAGGAAGAAAAAAAATTATGCTGGGATACGACCCTTTAGGGTGGGGGTGGCATTCATGAATCAGGAAGAGGAAATTTTATCATGGGACACGAGAGGGGTGGCTTTGGGGCCCCCAGTATAGGGAGGCGAGAGGGGCGAGAGGGGGCGACAAGGGGCGAGAGGGGGGCGAGAGGGGATGGAGATGGGCGACAGGGTGAGAGGGGGCCAGAGGGTCAGAGAAATTTTGAACATGCTACGACCCTTTAGGGTGGCGGGACACTCATGGAATTAAAGACATTTTATCATGGCATACAATCCTTATACGGTGGGGGGGAACATTCATGGAATCAGGAAGAAGAAATTTTATCATGGGATACGACCCTTTAGGGTGGGGAAGGAGGCATTCATGGAATCAGGAAGAGGAAACTTTATCATGAGACACGAGAGGCGGTGGCTTTGGGGGTCCCCCCCAATATAGGGAGGCGAGAGGGGGCGAGATGGGGAGACAGGCATTTTATCATGGCATACAAACTTTTACGGGGGGGGGCACACTCATTGGAATCAGGAAGAAAAAAATTATTCATGGGATACGACCCTTTAGGGTGGGGGGGGGAACATTCATGGAATCAGGAAGAGGAAACTTTATCATGGGACACGAGAGGGGGTGGCTTTGGGGTCCTCCCAATACAAGGAGACGAGAGGGGGCCCGGGCGAAAGGTGAGAGGGGCGGCGAGCGGGGGCGAAGGGTCGGGAGGGGGGGCGAGAGGGGGGGGGGGGGGGGGGTGCGATATTGTATGCTAGATGCTGTGGCGAGAGGGGGGCGAGAGCGGGCGAGAGGGGGGGGTGAGGTAGCTTTCCCCGTATTAAGGGAGCCCTGGAAACCTAAGTTAACACCTGCGGTCAGCTGAAGGCGACTGCTTTCTTTTTACACGCGCGGTCTGCTGCTAATCTTGAGCCATGCGGAGTGCGCATGAGATAGAATGAATTCTGTGTACATGTCAACATGCATGAAGCATTGTGTAGACACGTAAAACAAAATAAGTAACAAACAGACACAATTTTTCTTCGTGTCGCAACATGCTACTGTGGTTCACAAGAAGCGCTCAGCTTGTGATCTGCTGTGAAATGTGCCCGAAGACAAAATGAAAACTGTACAGACAGCTACTGGTAGCTACAGGCAGGCAGGCCGTAAATACGGCACATATGCATAGACAAGGACCCACAGTCCCATCGAGAAAGTGTATCCGTAGAAATTCATTTCATTGTTTCTTCTGGTTTGTCCAGTTTGATGGAAAAAGATCGATTGATCAGGAGTTTGTGGAATCAAATCCAACCAGGAACCATCGTATTTTTGAATCCATCTCTGTCTTGGAACTGTATATCCAGGAACATATTCTACGTTGCTGGTGCGAGGATTCGTTCTGTAGTATGATGGTTGATTGTATGAGTAACCGTAATCGCGGTAATCTCCTCTGTAATCTCCTCTGTACCCGGAGGAGCTTGAGGAACCTCCTTGCTGGCCTTGGCTAAGCCATTGCGAACCCGTCATGCGAGGTGGCGGCGCCGGTGGTTCAGGAATGTCATGCGGTCGCTTGCGTGTGGATCTTGGATCTGGAGTTTGCGACCTTTCGCGCCACGGTGGTCTTCTGGCTCCAACTGTGCTAGACGGATTAATGACAGGGTCATTGCTAGGAGATCTGGCAGATCTGGCAGTTCGGCTTGACCGAACAGGCGGTGCAGGCGGAGCAACTGGCGGTGCTTTTACAGGTGGTGTTACATTTGAGGATGATAGTGTTATATGATTCGCATCGAGCCACAGATTGGAAATGTTTAAAATTATTTTTTTCATTGATTTTTCATTTGGGTTTTCATTTGTAACTTCATTTTTTTCATTTTGTTTTTCAATCATTTTTTGTTTTCATTTATTTTTCTTTTTTTTTTCGTTTTTTGTTTCTCCAAACTTCATTTTTTTTCATTTCAAACATCATTTTTCATTTCAAACTTCGTGTTTTTTTCATTTTTTTTTCATTTTCCTTGCCCGTGGCACCTGAAATCCAGGAAAACCATGAAAATCAATGAAAAACAATGGAAAACCATCAAAAACAAAGGAAAATGGAAAAAAAAAACATGAAGTTGCAAATGAAAAAAAAATGAAAATTTGGACTCAAAGTTGCAGATTCTCACTCCGAACCAGGAAATCTTCAAAAACTCGGGGAAATTGTCATTTTTTCATTTTTTTTTCATTTTTTTAATTTTTTTATCATTTGTTTATCATGGTTTTATCATTTTTTTCATTTTCCTTGTCCGTGGCACCTGAAATCCAGGAAAGCCATGAAAAACAATGAAAAACAATGGAAAACCATCAGAAACAAAGGAAAATGAAAAAAAAATGAAGTTGCAAATGAAAAAAACCGAAAATTTGGACTCAAAGTTGCAGATTCTCACTCGCCGTGCACACACCCAGACATTGCCAGCGCTTTAAGCCATTTACAATCCCAAATAAATTCCGCCACTATAGCCACCCTTATAACAGCCAATAAAGTACTCCATAATGCAAAGAAACACAGCGATGTTCATATCAAAATTCAACCCATCAAGACTGAGGACCTTAGATTCGTTGCCTTTTCAGATGCATCATTCGCATCCAAAAGTAAGCCAGAGTCACATGCAGGAATGATCATTTTGGCCACCCACCGTGAAATTTCTCAGAATCAGTCATGTCCCAAGTCCGATTCCTGGGGGGCCAAGAAAATTCAAAGAATTGTCACAAGTCACAAGCACCTTGTCGGCAGAAACCTCAGCGTTATCAACAACCCTTGATCAACGTACATGGCTAAGACTCTATTGGGCATGGGTTTTGGACCCCAAAACAGAATGGTAAAAGCCAGAATCAGCACAGAAACTTCCACCAGCCATTTCCAGTCCTACTTACAAAGCAACTGAAAGCGACTTTGCAATTACGGACTGTAAAAGCCTATACGATCTCACAACCAGAACTGCCATCCCAAACTGCCAAGAATTTCGTACACAACTCCTTGCAAGATCCATAAAAGACATACTCCCCGAAGGCATAAAATTACATTGGGTACACTCAGGGGCACAACTAGCAGATTCTTTAACCAAAGTGATGGAGGCCACGTTTTTGCGGGAAACCCTTCGTAAGGGAAGATACTGTGCCTTCACGACTCCAAAGAGGTGTTGAAGAATCGTGCATCAGCACGCAATCGATTGAAGTGGCTCCGATCAAGTACAGGCACCGATCAAATGTCTACTAAGTCAAAAATTCTTTTGAAGTTTCGTAGACATTTGATCAGACCCTAAACAGCATGAAGTGAACATGTCCTCCTCTCTTGAAGCCATAGCCGATCATGATGTGATCCCATGTTCCAGCAGGGTACTTCACCCTTGTTATCACAGGTGTTTCAGGCTCAGGGAGCCAAATAGGAGAAGTGGCGGGCGGGATCACACCTTGCGGTTAGCCATTGGCATTTGGCGGTGACTTGCAGCTGTGGACAGCTAACGTTTGCATAGGTGGTGCAACGGGTTGCAAAACAAGCTCCGCGGCCGCAGCGACAGGTGACTTTGGTGGTTTGGGATCAGGGAGCCTCTGTTACCAATTCACAATATGTATAAATAAATATATATATATATATTTATTTATTTATTATATATATATATATGTTTTTATAAGTACAGTATGCGGATGTGGGCCACTCAAGACAAAAAAGGACACGATGTTTGCCATGAATGTGACATGAATCACCTCCCTGGAACTACTTGGTCAGACAAGATCGTGAAGCCGCGAAAATGTGCCTCAATCAGCACGGGTTGCGTCCAAGAAGCATGGACATAGCCCGCCAGCGACATCGACTTGAGCTCAACCAAGGGCAGCGTGAAGTGATGCTCCGTGTCCCCAGCCACCACCGCCTGCCAAAGAGTTCCAGGGGAGTGACTGGACACCCCAAATCCATTTGGGGCCCCAATGACGACTACTGCAGTGGCATCAATGACATCGATGTTGCCGGCACCAGGTCCCTTATGATTCTAAATGCCTCAATACTTATTTGTTTTGCGATGCTTTCTGGCTGGCATCGTTTGAGAAATCCGAGAAACTGGAATATAGCCTCACACATGTGTCACTAAGAAACTTGCCATTCGAGGAACTATAGCAACAACAACAACTACTACTACTACTACTACTACTACTACAACTACAACTACAACTGCAGCAGCAGCAGCAGCAGCAATTTTATAAAAACCACTCGAAGCAACGTCCAACAGTTAACTATAAGGAGACCAACCAGAAGATAGTTTTAGTCGATGCGTTTATTGACAGTGGATATCTACACAAACAATCAGATAAACATGCTTAATACATTGAACGCCGCGTGGCCATTTTTTGTTTGAAAAACAGGTCATAGCCGTCTTGACACAAGCGGCATAACTCTCAATCAACCTGCTCCTAACACAGCCACTCTGCAAAACAAATAGAAGTTGTTCATGCAGCACTGGCATTGAGCGCGGACACACACACACTTACTTGCTCAGACTTGTCTTATCGACTTGTGATGTGGAATGCATCGGACGTGCAAAACACACTCCAATTAATCTTGATCAGAGAGGATGGAAAGACTTGACAATAGGAGCTGGCCCTTCGCTTTCAAATGCCAAATAAACGGCAAAAAGTTGTCGAAACTACCATCGCCAAAGCCAGTGAAGTTGAATCACGAGTCTTGAGTTGATTTGAGTTGCGCCAATAATAAAAACAGTAACAAAAAGGAATTGAATTACAACATCGACATGCCGGTTCTGGGCATAGCCGGCTGCCATCGACGAGAAATTCAACACTGAAATTGTTCTGCAGGATTCTGCAGGTACGTCACCAGGCGTCCCTGGTGATATCCTGGGATCATATGAGGAGCTTCGTTGGATGGAGCCTCATATGTCCTCTCCATCCCCCTGCAACAAAAATCATGAAGTTACAAGTTTTACATCTATTGAGGTGTTTCACACACACGCCCAGCAGCAGCGGTTTTTCTTTAAGGCTCCGACTTCTTAAGGCTCCGACAAATGAGATGAAGGTGAAGATTTAAAGGAAATGGAAATGAGATGACAAACTACTTCACCAGGAGACGAGACGGGGAACGCAAAAGAGGAAAGGAAAAGGGGAAACACCAACACCAACACACCTAGCCCAGAGCTGGCAAACCCTGAAAGGGCAAGGGAAAAGCAAAAGCAGACGGACGACGGGCCAAACACCGACCAAGGAAGGGGGAGGCGGTCGGAAGCGCCTGACACAACCTACAAGGCGAGAGCCAAACCTACCTCGGCACGCGAAGGACCCAAACCTGACCTACAGAGGAAGCACGCATGAGATAGGGGACCAATGGGGAACTAGTTTCCGCAATCGCATGCAAGAGTCGTGATTGATAAGGCTCAAGGCCCTCGGTCGTCATTTCAACCCTGTGGACGGCTGTCAATAGTCCCCAAGCTGAATGAAGTGCACAAGTGAACCTCACCAACGACCAAGAAAGCAAAAGTCCAAACCTGAAGGCATGTACCTGCCTGAAACCGTCAACATGTTGCCATGACAGCGGTCTGTCTCTCGAGCAACGGCGAAAAAAGAAGGAGGTTTACACGGCTAACAAAAGGAATTGAAGCCCGGTACTGCGGCCAGTTGTTCAACCAGCGACAAACGACAGGGTGAAAAGCCAAAAATGGCCAACTGTTCCACTTTACTTAAACAAATTACCAAGTTCAAAATTGTAAATTCAGAGTCAGATCGGCGGTTCCCGCTTCATACCTAGAAAGGTATTCCCCGAAGGGCTCATGTCATCCTGTCGAATCCGGCATGAGTCACACACTTGCTCAGACTTGTCTTGTCGAATTGTGATGTGGAGTGCGTCAGACGTGCAAAACATATTCCAATTAATCTTGATCAGAGAGGATGGAAAGACTTGACAATAGGAGCTGACCCTTCGCTTTCAAATGCCAAATAAACGGCAAAAAGTTGTCGAAACTACCATCGCCAAAGCCAGTGAAGTTGAATCACGAGTCTTGAGTTGATTTGAGTTGCGCCAATAATAAAAACAGTAACAAAAAGGAATTGAATTACAACATCGACATGCCGGTTCTGGGCTTAGCCGGCTGCCATCGACGAGAAATTCAACACTGAAATTGTTCTGCAGGATTCTGCAGGTACGTCACCAGGCGTCCCTGGTGATATCCTGGGATCATATGAGGAGCTTTGCTGGATGGAGCCTCATATGTCCTCTCCACCCCCCTGTAACAAAAATCATGAAGGTACAAGTTTTACATCAATTGAGATGTTTCACACACACACCTATATATATATATGTGTGTGTAAGTTCGTTGTTTATTTGACTGGTTGATTTATATTTAGGGTCATAGCCTTTCTTTTGACAAAGAGGCTCAACTGCATAACATTCAATCAAACTGCTGTAGACCTGTTTAATATTTGTTGGGTGCGTGTTTTGTTGAAAATTCAACCTATCCAAATTTGCAAAGTAAATAGAAAAACGCCGTTTTACTGAAGTCCCACAGGATCAACACAAAGGGCGCTTTGGAGCCGGCCTGATTACGTGCAGGATATATATCTTAAGCTTACATGTACATCCCCGTCTTTGTTTGCGACCTCAAGTCCCTGTTCTCTGGCTATAAACACAGACGTTTATTGCGTAGCTTAAGCTTAGATATCGTCCTTTTCTCTCGAATCCCCATCCCAGCCACCAACCCATCAACTCCTTCCTCCAGGCCTTGATCGCCTCGATGGCAACCCCAGCCTCATCTGCAATCACCCCGACTTTCTTACACCACTCCTGGCTGAGGGCTGGTTTGTGGTCTGGGTGCCGAGCTAACCAAACGTATACGGTTAACAAACAAAAAAGTAACAAAATAGGGGTGATTTGTCTCCAAATCTGCAAATAGGGACGCAATCATCGCACATCAAACTTCTTAGTCATTGACCTGAGATTTCTTAACTGCAAATCGGATTAATTCAGCAATGAAGTTGGATGCAAAACTGCAAACATGTTGGGGCAAATTTTGTCTGATCTGGTTGAGGCCCCTTTTGACATTTCCAGCATGGCAAGTTTAGAGAAAACACATTGAAGCGTTGTTCGGGCTCCAGCATCAAAAATAGGTGGTTAAACCAGCAATGCTCTCTGATGTTCACCGGGTTAAAAGCAAGGAAAGTGCGAAAGAACCCGGGAGGCAATCCTATCCACTCATGAATCTTGGTCGAAACCATTTCTGGACAGTTTGTGTAAAAGGCACCAAGGAATTTCGAGGGTTAACTACTAAGACAAACCGCATGTTCGACCCCAAATTGTGAATTTCAATGTGACAATGGTGATTAAAAAAAACGTAAACGTGGTCAGAAGGCACCTTTTAAGCGCCTTGAGCCAAACACTGTGTTTGGCATGCATAGCTGAAGTTTAAGGATGTGAAACAAGTGAATTAGCCCCAAGGAACGTTTGTCCCCCCAAAAATCTGGCCAGTACCTTATTTCCAACTCCACAAGCGGGGGCACACCCCAAACATAAAAGAATACCTCGAACAACAGTTCGTGTATTCGTATGTATATATTATCTCTCTATATATATATATACATACGTAAGTTCGACGACCGTGATACGCTCGTCGCAACACCCAGATCTCGAAACAAACATCACACATGACAAACGTGAAAATCAGCAAACATGGAAGTGCCGTAGAAAAAGATGCAACGGATGTCTGCCACTCTTTTTTCCAAACTCTGCAGATGGGGCGAAGTCATCGCCTGCCCGGTCGTTCACCACTTAATCTGAGGTGATGTCGGAGCTCCTCCCAACTTAATTTGGTGTGCTCCACGTTTCTTCCCTCAAAACGAGTCAGGTCCAAACGGCTATAGCACCATCCGCAGGGTTGCTTGCACTGGGACACCTTCCAAACTGTGTTGCAACTGCGATTCAGCATCAACGAAGTCGGCAATGACACAAGAGGAAAAGTTGTCTCACCACTGCCACGGATGTATGCCATCCTTGCAGATTCGTTGTCTATGTAGTAGTAGACAACCAAGGCACCTTCGTATCGCCTGCCCTACACATGGCAATTGCGACAAAGACAGGGAACACCTCCAGTTCGTGTATCGGGTTTTGCGAGACCTTGAAGAATTCAGACATGATATCAGAAGGGACTGCATGAGCTGCTGAAATAGGATTGGCAGCACCCCCGAGGATCGATGATCAAGCTACCGATGGAGCCTTCCTGCTTGTCAGGGTTGCACGCCCCGTCAGTGAAAACGATCCAAGTGTGGTTCAACGAATTCCCAACACGAACAGGTGGCGCACACAGCACCCGAACTAAAAGGCTGTACTTGATGGAGTCATCAAGTTTCTTCTTCCCACTGCCTTCGGTGCAAAACCTGCCTAGGTTTTTGATGGCAGCATTTGCCACCCTTCCAAACGTAAGACCCTCAAAGAAAACCATGCGGCCACGTAAGCGTTCAGCTTGTTTTGAGTCCATGGACCCTTGGGCCAGTATGCTGTCAATTCGTGACCTGAGCTCTTCTTTGCGCTCAGGTGTGTGCCCAACTTTCAGCTCCCTCTGCTGGGAGTTTGACAAGTCGACTTGAAGACCCAGCATCTTGAATTTCTGTCAAAGGGTAAAAATTTCTTTGCCATCCGTCGCGTACTTCAACCCCAGCAGTTTGAATAGGGTCTCAACGCACCAAGAGGATCCAAGAGGTATTTGAAAGAAGCTCCTTCCTGCTCAAAACGCTAAAATCATCATAGAAGCCTTTCCATCACAATTAGAGAACCATCACACCAATGTACCAAATAGCCAAGCTCACTCTCAAAAACCCTGCTACGCTCCCAACAGCTCCAAATGGAACCGCGTTGAACCCTATGAGTTTTGGCCGCTCGCAGTCAGGATCCTTCACTGCCATCCGCAGGGTCTCTCGGTCCTTGCTGTTGACTGCAAATTGGCTGTATGCTGATTTCAAATCGTAGCACCTACCAAAGATTTCCGGAAAGCTTGAGCTTGGAAAAAGTTTGAAAGCATCCGCAACCATAGACGCCAGAATGCCAATGGATCCAATGGACTGCAAATGGATGGAGCTTTTCAGGCAGCCCCACCGTCCAGTTCAAGCCCGCAACAAGAGCAGTCATCTATCACCCGCGTCTTGTCTGACTGCTTAATGCCAAAACGGCGGCCAATAAATTTGGTGTTGCCTGACGTGTCGCTGTCGTCAAAAAAGATCCAACCCTTTTGCTCTTCCTCTACAGTCTCAGCCCAAGTCGCACACTCCAAGTCCTCTTCTTCCCTAACAGTCATGCTTCGGAAAGTGGAAGCGTTCAAACCCTTCGCAAGTTTGCGCAGAGTCTCCATGGACATGGACGGCCGCTTGGCCGTAGGCTAAAAAACATGAGATTTACTCATCCATCCTCTCAACTTGAAACCTTCTGCAATCTCATCCACCAAGCCCACATCCGGATAGATCAAGTCCGAGAGGATCTCTTTCAGGAGCAACAACCTCTTTCCACCCACCGGCGCGCGCACATGCTCGGGCATGCTTTTCCGAAGCTCAGACTCAGCTTCCGCAAGTTCATTGGCACGCTTCAGATACTTATTGAAAAAGTTGAACCTGCTTTTGGCCAGATCAGCAGGGGCGCCAACAAAATTAGCATGGAGCATGTCCTCGATCTTGGGGTCAGAATATTGATCCAGACTTCTGGGATGACCAGCCAAGATTGCACGCTCGATGAACTCATCGGGCTCACTAGGAATGCCAACTTGCACATTTTCGACAATGTCAGCATTCCCCAAGCTCAGAAAAAAGACATTGTCAGCAGAATTGTTGCCAGCCACCCCAACTCAATTTGCCGCCTGAGCTTCACCCCTTGTAACTTGTAATAATACGGCGGGAAACAACTTTGGCGCCCTTCGGCTGCTGTTTGACGAAGTGTTTCCACCAGTGATGGTTGTTGCGGGTCCGCAAAAACGGTCAAATAGGTGCCAAACTCAGCCACCAATGGCTTGACTTTGTGCCCTCTGGGCAAAGCGCCCAGGATTATCCTGGAAAGTTTCTCTCGGGCAGGCCCTTCTGCCTGCTCTAATATTGTGTCGGGCAGGTGTGCTCCTTGCTGCAAGGCCACACGCTTCAAACAGGTGACAACGCGATCAAAAAGTAAATGAGGATATGCCGTTTCTTCTGAAGTCGAGAATTTGAAGCCACCATTCTCCAGCTTGGCGGTCCAGGGCTTGTGCTTGTGTTGCCTGCTGCGCAAGATTGCAAGTTCGTCAAGCCAGTCATCGTTTACCCAAAGTGAATTAGCTTTGTCGCGGTCACCACCATGCGTGCAGTTATGAAAGGTGACAAAATGATGTTGCTGCTGCGCACGTAGAAGCTGCATTGGTGTCGTTCCCCAGTAGTGGGAATTTGATATGGGTTCTCAATTGCCAGAAAAATATGCAGCTCACACGCCTTTGTCGCCAAAATCAATACTGCATCATACAGCACGTTTGCCTTTTCCACTTTGACCTTGTCCAAACCACTCAAACCGTCAAGCTGGTCGGGCTTGCATGTCGACCGCAGGGGCAAGGGAACTTTCATGCCTGCTTCCAACTCAGGAAGCCTTTTCTCACGTGCTCTGCTGCACGTACTACAAGAAGATACAAGAAGGCAAGAAGGTGCTATCCAAATGGCCAATATGCAATCTGCCGCCTCATCGACGAATCGTACAATTGAAGACAGATCGTCGGGATCTGTAAGATCAACCCACACGTCCGTGATGTTGTGTGGTCAACTGCCATGGTTCCTTCTCTGCCAAGGAAATTTGGCGCACTGCATCCCCATGATCCGCTCCATCACAGGTGACTCCTCCTTAACAGAGGAGATGACCAATGTTGTGCTATCAAAGTGGATGCGTCGGATTGCTGACATCTGTCAAGCGCTCACTGCATCTCCAAAGACACGTTGAGCCAGTGCATTGAACTGATCTTCTGTGGCGTCCCCATTGCAAATGCAATGGAGCTATGTGACCTGATCTCTTGCGCGTCCAGTGCCGTGCGCAATGTCCCATCACTGGTAATTTCATCACACTGCTGGCAAAATGCAGCAGTTGACTCAATCAAACTCATGGCAATGAGAGGAGGAGAAAAACAGGGAGAAGAATTAAATCAATGCAGCACAAGACATTCTCTCAAAGGGAGATCTCCTAGAATGGCCTGCGTTTTTTCAAAAACTGAATGATGAAATGCTGTGTGACTAAACCTGAAGCAATACCATGACATGCATGAATGCATTGCAATCGACTCTGGCTTGATCGAGCCTGAATCCTCGAAATGAAATTCTTCAGTGCAGGCCACCGGCTGGATCAACTGAAATTCGAAGAATGTTCAAATGAAACTGCATCCAAGACATGTCCATGTGATGTGTCGATGACCATTCAATGTCTCAACACTCTCACTCTGCGACATCGGCCTGTCTTCCTGTTTTACCTCTTTGGCAGCTCACGTCTGCTGATTCCAATGAAACAGACAGTCAACTGGTGAAGCATTGCCACGTCTAAGTGTAAACAGTTGTTGCAACAAAAATGAAACTCCAATGCGGAAATAAGAGGCTGATTTCCGCTTTGCCAAGATAAACAGAAACAGAAACGTCTGCAAATCAAGTTTCTGACTGCACCAACGCTCCAAACTGTCGGGATTCTCTCAAGACAGCCATGCAAGTTGAGCTACTTACTTTGCAAGAACTCCCTAGGATAAATGAAACAAATGCATGGATCAACAACTGGTGTCTTGTCTCAGCTCCCGGCACTGTCCAAGACCAACA